CGCGCGGGGAGGGTCTCGGCGCCCCCCACGCCCCGCTCCGCCCGCCGCGGGGGAGCCGGAGCTCTTTGTGGGAGCATCTTGGGGGCGCGTCCCTGCCCCGCGGCCGCGGCTTCCGACAGGCCCCCCTCCCCCCGGCCGGACTGTGCAGCGCCGTCCGCAGCCCCTTCTCAGACCCCCGGGTGGGGAGCACGTCGGTGCGTGCGCAGGGCCCGGTGCGGGGCGTCCCGCTTCCTCAAGGCGGGGCTCACGCTGCGCTCGGGGCGGACGGGGGCGGGGGGCGCGAGGCGGCCTCGCCCCCCGGCTGGAATCCGTGCGGACCCGGCGAGCCTCGTCGTCCCGGCCGGGCCCCGCGCCCTGTCCCCACTCCCCAGCCTGGGCGAGAGGCGCGCCCTGAAGTCGCGGGGCCGACGCTGCGCGCGGGGCGGGCGCCTCGCCGCTCCCATCTGCGGGAGGAGGTGCGCTGAGCTCTGGGGGCCTCGTCCAGCCTCCGGGCCAGACCTAAGCCCGCGGCACGTTTTGACGAAGGCCTGTGAGCAGACACTGCCTGTTGGGGAACCGGGACGCTCTGGGGCGCTCCCGAGGGCTCTGCTTTCCCGCAGCCGCGCTTTGGCATCGCGTTGGCGCGTGTCCGCGGCTGTCGGTCCGCTCCGGTCCTTTTCCGCCGCGGCTGCAAAGCGCTTCTTGCGAGAGCAGGTCGCTGGGTCGTCCTCACTGTGGAGTAGGGAGGTGGTGTGGCTTCGGAGGGGAAGGACCTTCGTGCCTTGATGTGTCCAGGCTGGATAATGGCAACTGGGCAAGGCCACCTGAGCGAGCTGGAGGCTGGGGAGGACGGACGTCACCGGGCCTCCTCCCCAGCTGGGCCAGCCTCCTCTGTCCCTGGGACCAGGCCCTGGAAATGAGCTGGGGAGAGCTCCTGGCGGGGAAGTAAGTGGCTCTTCCTTCCGACCCAGACCCAGCGTACTGCAACCTGGGGACCGGTGGAGTCGCATTTCCCAGGCCCTCCAAGCAGAAAGGGGGGGGACGTCAGATCACACAGACAGGGACTCTTCATCCCGCTTTCTTTAACTGGGATTTGTGTCGCCTGTTTCTGTCACTTCTTCCAAAGCGTCCCTCTTTTCTTGTTCCAGTCCACACCTGTCTTGTTTTGTACCTGTAAGGTGTTCATAAGCACTCTTCGTACACACTTTCAGAAATTTCTTTCACTTCGCCTGTGAAGGGCAGTTAGCCTGTTTCAGAGGTGCAGAAACAGACTCAGGAGAGGTAAGGGCTGGGCCCAGGAGCCAGGATTGGACTCAGGCCTCTGCACTTGGCAATGCTTTTCACACACACGGGCCCTCAAACTCAGGGCTTCTCCCTGCCCCAAAGCTCTACCTCCGTGACTGGAAGATTAGGGACCCGTCAAAAAGAGGCCTGATTGTCATTGTAGACACTAAATCCAAGACCTCAGGAGCTCACACCGTCTCCTACCCTCTCTTTGCGTTGCAGCCCTGCATGCTGGGAGTGTCAGACGGAGGAGGACGGTGCGCTCAGAGGGCTGAGCTCTTTGGGTTCCGTGGAAGGCGGCATGGGCTGAGCTGGAACTGACCTGCATGACCAGCAAAGGAGGTGCGGTCCTGTGGGGGAAGCTGTGCTGCTGCCTGGGACGGTCAGGAAGCCTTCCCACAGGAGGAGGGCTGGTGTGGGGGGAGGGGCGTTTGCAGAGGTGGGGGGTGCTGAGAGCATGCTTCCCTGTAAGGAGACTCAGAGCTCCAGCACCGTGTTGCTTGGCCTGAATTTTGGGGGAAAGCTGTACCTTTTATGGGGGGAAAAAGTCCCATGTTTTTAAAGTTGGCAACTAATTCAGAACAATTTTCAGAATGTGCAGAGCAGCCCAGTTCTGCGCGGAGGCCCGCTGCTGCCGCACACTGCCAGTTTGCTGCCTCTGGGCTAGACCTTGGAAGCACTTGTCCTCCTGAGATACACTAAAGCATGACTGGAGGGGGAGTGGCGTCTTCTGGCTGTTTTTCTTTGAGAACAAAAAGCATCAACAAGATTGCTGTGGGTGCTGCCTGGAGCTGGGAGGAAGAGCTGACTTTACACTCAGGCCTTCCTTCCGCCAGCGCATGGCGTCTGACTCTAGCCTTCCACAGGGAGAAGGCCTGCAGCCCGGTGGTTCGCGCTCGGTGGTACGCGCTCCCTTGGCCAGTCACAGGCCCGCAGGCCTTCAGGGCAGATCTGTTCAGGAAGGCGGGGAGCCTAAAGGGGGGCGTTTTCTGTGTGAGCTGGGGTGAGACGGGACACAGCAGACTGGGGTCTGGGTTTGGTTTTTATTCCAGGAGCAGGTGAGGGAGCACTGGGTCAGGAGCACCGTCTGAGGTCAGGAGGCCTGCACCCGCCCCCGCCACTCACAAAATATGACCTTGGATGAATAATGGGAAGCATGCCTAGAAGGTAGTAACTTTTTAAAAAAACACGAATTATTTTAAAAGTTTTTTTTTTAATAGAGAATTTTTTTTAAGTTTTTTTTTTTTTTTTTAAATAGAGAAAGATATGGGAAAATAAAATTCCCTCCACTTTTTCCTTCCCTCTCCTCACCTGAGAGGGAACCACTGTGAGTGTAATATCTTCTAGGCTTTCTGCAGTGCCTGAGTATAGACCAGCCAAGTCTGGACGTACAGGTGAATGCGGAATATGTGGGTTATTGGTACGATATTGCACAATGTGGTAAAAATATGATCTGCATTGCCAGCTTTAGGACCAGCCTTACTATACTGAAAATGCTTTCAAAAATACATAAGTGGGGATCATATGTTACTGTGTGCTCTGTGACTTACTTTTTTAACTTAACAATGGGACTTGGGGGGGTGCCTGTCTGGCTCAGTTAGTTGAGTGTCCGCCCTCGGCTCAGGTCATGATCCCAGGGTCCCGGGATGGAGTCCCGCATCGGGCTCCCTGCTCAGTAGGGAGCCTGCTTCTCCTTCGCCCACTGTTTTCGCTCTCTCAAGTAAATAAATTAAAAAACAACAACAAAGAAAACAAAAAAAACCCAATGGGACTTGGATGTCTTCCAATATCAAAAACATAGGGGCGCCTGACTGGCTCAGTTGGTGGAGCGTGTGACTCTTGATTTTGGGATCATGAGTTCAAGCCCCATATTAGGGTTAGAGATTGCTTAAAAACAAACAAACAAACAAACAAATATGGAGAGGCACCTGGGTGGAATTTCGGCTCAGGTCACAGTCTCAGGGTCCTGGGATCCAGCCCCTTGTCGGGCTCCCTGCTCAGCGGGAAGTCAGCGTCTCTCCTCCCTCTGCCCGTCTTCCCCCCTTGCTCCCTCTCAAATAAATAAGTGAAATCCTTAAAAGAAGAAAAGAACTTAGATATGCTTCATTCTTTTTAATGGCTACATAGTATTTCACGGTGGAGATTCCCCGTGATTCATTTGAACAATCCCGTTTACAGGCACCTCGACTGATTCCAGCTTCCTCCCTTGTAATAACGCTGTAGTCAAACACGTCTCTGTGCACGTGGGGGCATTTCTGCATAAAACGTGCTCCTACCAGTCAAGCTGGTGAGCCAAAGGGTATGTCATCTTAAATGTTTATTTAAGCATAATTCCTTTTGTTTAGTGGGATCTGGAGATTGTGCGGAAGAAGATTGAATTCATTGACTTACTTGTTTACTTGCTTGGGGATAGGTCATGTTTGGGGTTAGTTAGTGTATATGAAGCACAACATTCACAGGCTCTGAAAGTCAACACCTCCCTTCTACCTCAGCCCTCCATTTCCCTTTTTGGATGCAACTAATTTTTCCACTTTTTGTGTATCCATCTAGAAATAGCCTGTGCATCTGTAGGTAAATGTGTTTTCCGTTTTTTTTTCTCTCTAAATATGGTAGCATACCAATTTGCCACTCTGTTCTGCTTATGGAGTTTTAAAAAATTAACGTACATCTTAGATACCATTCCCTATCAGAGTTCTGTGCATTTTAGGTTCTCCCAAGTTAATGCTTAAAAAAAAAAAAAAGTTTAATTAATTTACACTCTTTCAAATTGCCCCATGAAATCCTTTTCTGTCAAATTGTGGTTTCATCAATTCTTGACGCTCTTTCTAAATTCTGGACTTTAATTCTTTTCTCGTTAATAAATCAAATATCTTGCCTTTTTATGTTTTCTTCCCCAGCTTTGCTCACTGTGATGTGCAGAAGTGATGACTTTTTACGAGGCTGAATCTGTGTCACTTTTCTGTGGGCCTCGAGTTCTGTCCTGCTTAGGAAGCCTTCTCCTGTCTCAGGATTAACTTATATTTCTTACATTTTCTCTTTCCTCTTCATTATTTCTTTGTTTTTTTTTTTCACTTAAAGATATTTTACATTATTGGGGTGCCTGGGTGGCTCAGGGGGTTAAGCATCTGCCTTCGGCTCAGGTCATGATCTCAGGGTCCTGGGATCGAGCCCTGCGTCGGGCTCTCTGCTCAGCGGGGAGCCTGCTTCCTCCTCTCCCTCTGCCTGCTGCTCTGCCTACTTGTGATCTCTCTCTCTCTGTCAGATAAATAAATAAAATCTTAAAAAATTTTTTTACATGACTGTTTCTTTCCTTCTGCCGTCTTTCAGGTTCCTTCCTCTCGGACAATGGGGAAGTCAGGGTTTGAATTCGTCCGTGAGTCTCATTAGCCAATGTGGGATCTCTATTTTCTTTCATTTTTAGAGAGATTTCTTTCTTTCTTTTTTTTTTTTTTAAGATTTTATTTATTTATTTGACAGAAAGAGATCACAAGTAGGCAGAGAGGCAGACAGAGAGGAAGGGAAGCAGGCTCCCCGCTGAGCAGAGAGCCCGATGCGGGGCTCGATCCCAGGATCCCAGGACCCTGGGATCATGATCTGAGCTGAAGGCAGAGGCTTTAACCCACTGAGCCACCCAGGCGCCCCGAGAATCGGCATTCTTGGTGGACACATTGCTGTGCCAGGTTGTGGAGCTGGAGCACAGCCCTCAGTGTCCGGAGAGCCCCCTTGGAGGGGGTTATAAGTGAGCACACGGTGCGGGTGGCTGGACCTGGCAGAGTGTGACCAGGCTGGTTAGGAGTCCATTAGTCCAGTGGCTCTGGGGAGGGCTCGAGGGAGACCAAAGGTGAGAAGATAAGAGTAGTCATCGAGAGAAAGACAGGGAGGCTCCCAGCTGGGGTCGTGGCAGTGGCCGGTGACCGTGAAGTGTTTACGGATGCACTAGGTGTCTGTGATAACGAACGGAACCAACAGTGACTGCTTTCTACCTATAGCCTCTCCTTGAAACAGGCAAGTCCACGTGACAACCCAAGGCTCAGATATGTTCATTCATCTCCCCAAGGTCACACACTCAGAAGAAGGCAGTCGGGGGCCTTAGCCCCATCAGGATTACCTGGCAGGAGTGCTGTCTGGTGTCCTGGGTTTCTGTCTGGAGTGGGCGGGTGGTGATGTTTTTCGAGGGTGGCGAGAACCATGAAGACTAGCGTACTGAGATGGTAGAAGAGTTGCTGTTGACTGGTACTCTGCGCGTGTTCTGGCTGAGGGGCCTGGGTGTGACAGATGGGCGGAAATATCTCCTGGGTGGGCGGGTGCGACTCTGGAGCTCCGAGGGCTTGTCCGGGATCCCGGGGGAGAGTTGGGAGTCATCGCTGTGCAGGTGGGTACGGACAGAGCACACAGAGACAGATGTGAGGTATCAGGTGGGACTCCCTTTTACAAGGGGTAGAAAATCTGGTTCCCTTTGGCTGAAGCAGAAAGGAAAGTGACTGGCTCACATCCCTAGAAAGCTCAGGAGTGGGTCTGGCTTCGGGCATGGGGTCCGGGTTCAAGCAATTTTGTCAGGACTCGTTTTCTTACCTGCTCTTGTCTCAGGCTCTCCCCTCCAGCTGGCTAGGGCGGGGGCTGCAGGTTCAAATCTAGGGGGGAGGGCAGCGGTCTCTGCCCCCAGCTAACCCTGCAACAGGCCCTCACTTCTCATAAACTGAGTGGGTCAGAGGGAGTTGGAATGGGCTGGGCGGCGAGGTGTGAATCCTGTGTCCTATCCATGAAGGCGCATGGACTCCAGGTCTGAAAAGGGTGACTCCAGAGGAAACTTGGGGACGGCTGCCAGAGCAAAGGGATGTAGAGGGACACCTTTAGTTCCCTCTGTAGATGGGAGAGGAAGAAGTTGCGTGGCAGGGGGCCCCTTGGGAAGCAGCAGCACTGACAGCAGGAGAGCAAGGAGTGACAGAGGGAGAGCAGCAGATGGGAGCCGAGGGGAGACGGGGTCTCAGAAGAACGTGAACTCGGTCCAGGGCGTCAGGTGCCGCGGGAACTCAAGGAAAGGTGTGCTGGATTCTGTGAGGAGGCCGTCCTCGCGTTGATCTCGCACTTGACCTGGACTGCCTTCTAGAGGCTCACCTTCCGAGGGCAGTCAGGACGTTTGGGCTCTGCCAGTAATTACGTGCGTGGCTGAGTAGCTTGCTCAGCTCTCTGGGCTTTGGTTTCACCGTGTGTGAGATAACGTGGCTAGGCTGAGTGGCTCCTGTGGCCTCAAGTGCCCTGCAGTGTCTCAGATTAATGAATCTGATCACTTCACACCACCTCCTTACCACAACCCTGGTCCAAGCCTTCACCTGTCACTGGGCTACAGCAGCCACCTGCTACCTGGTGTTTCTGCATCTGCACTCCCACTCCATCCGTTCTTGACCCAGCAGCAGGGTGACCCTTTTGAAAACCTGTCAGTCACACTGTCAGCTCCAGGGACCTCTGTCAGACATGAGCTCTTATCCATGGTCCTCACCATAATCCTGGTGGCCTCTGTCGTGTCATCCGCCTCAGACTTTAGGTGGTCTGCTGTTCTCCTTTCTTCATGTTTCCCTAGTGTACTCACCATTCTGCCACAGGGCCTTTGCACAGGCTCTTCCTGTGGCCTGAAATTCCTTTGCATCTTTTTCTGCTCTGATCAGATGTCACCTGGGGGACACCTGCCTACCCACTCCCACCACCCGCCCCTTCCTCCTCCTTTCACCGTGCTGTATCTTTCTTCATGGCATCTGCCACTCTCTGCATTTGTTTTGTATATTTGGTGTCTGCTTCTTCACTGTGCTCATCCCCTCTCCCACGACTGCGCTGCAGGGAGGACAGATTTTGGTACCTCATTCAGTGCGGGGTCCCAATGGCTTGGCACAGAGTAGGTATTCAGGAAATCTTTTTAGGGGTAGCCAAGTGAGGGGTGGGAAGGGGGACGCTCGGAGTATCCAGGAACCAGTGGTGGTATGGCAAGTGTGGGAGGGGAGGGGACCCCCTTCAGTCGTGGGGCTTTCTGGGACGGCATCTGTCTCAGATACGGTCATCAGGGGAAAAAAGGATTCGGAAGTGATATTACTTTAAAACATGGAAAGATAATATTCTCAATTTTAGCAGTATGAGTTTAATGCGTTCACTGGTCTCCAGGAGGATAAAAAACCAAA